GGCCACCAAGCCTGGCCTTAATTTTTTTTTTTTTTTTTTCTTTTCTCTTTTTTTTTAATATTTATTATCTTTATTTTATGTGTATAAGTATGTTTCCTGCATGTATATAAGGGCACCTGTGTTATGCAGGGCCCTCAGAGGTCAGAAGAGGACTTTGGAGTCCCCTGGAACTGGAGTTACAGACAGTGACAGAGTTACAGGACTCAAACCTAGATCCTCTGCAAGAACAGCTATGCTTTTAACCACCAAGCCGTCTAATATTTATTATCTTTATTTTATGTGTATAAGTATGTTTCCTGCATGTATATAAGGGCACCTGTGTTATGCAGGGCCCTCAGAGGTCAGAAGAGGACTTTGGAGTCCCCTGGAACTGGAGTTACAGACAGTGACAGAGTTACAGGACTCAAACCTAGATCCTCTGCAAGAACAGCTATGCTTTTAACCACCAAGCCGTCTCTCCAGCCCCTGGTTCATTTTCATATATGCCTAGGAATAGAATTACTGGCTCAGATGGTAACTCCATGTTTAACTTTTTGGAGAACCACCAAACTGTTTTCCATGTTGGCTGAGTCCTTTTATACTCCCACCAGCAGTGCACATTTCTCTATATCTCTGTAAACTACGCTGTAGAAGCTTTTCCTGTGGAGATGTGAACAAGCATCTTCTCACCCCAGACAGGGCGTTAACAACAGACCCAAAGTCCCAACTTAGAGAACCAATGAGTTTATTGCATTTATTTATAGAGCATAGGTTAGGGGTCACTTGCAGGTGTGTGGGTGACCCCAAAGCAGTTGGATTATTTCAAAGTCTCATCCCAGTATGGGTGATGACTTCACCATAGCTGTGCAGATGGAATCCCACCTTAGTCGACTTTCCACCTCTTCAAACCCTAGTACCTCGAGACCACATGCAACTGGGACAGAATTACACACATAGCTGAAGGGAAATGGATGAGGGAGTAGCTAGAATCTTAGGTGAGGGTCTGATGACCCTCCCCACCCCCTCCTATGAGGGAGCATCACCAGGCCTGGTCTTGACGGTCTCTTGTCAGTAGTCACAGAGGTTCTAATGAAGATGTGATAGCTGTTAAGCCCAGTGTGCTGCTATAACCGTATTTTCTTTTTTCCTTATTCTTTTTTTTTTTTTTTTTTTTTTGGGGTTTTTGAGACAGGGTCTCCCTGTAGCCCCAGCTGGCCTGGAACTCACTATGTAGACCAGGCTGGCCTTAAACTCACAGAGATCCACCTCCTCTGCCTCTGCCTCCTGAATGCCTGAATGCTGGGATTAAAGCCATGCACTACCATGACCGGCTCTTGACCTTGCCATCCTTTGCCTCAGCTTCAAGTCCTGAGATTATAGACACAGCTGCTAGACCTGGCATTATTATTATTATTTAGTAATAGACCTCCTAATGAGTATGAAGTGGTAAAAGCTGCTTTTTTAAATTTTATTTATTTTTATGTGTGAGTGTAGTGCCTGCATGTGTGTAAACACACCTGTGTAGTGCAATGTCAGAAGAGGCTAGAAGAAGTGTCAGAGTCCCCTGGACCTGGAGTTACACATGGTTGTTAGCTGCCATGTGGGTGCTAGGAATTGAACCTGGGTCCTCTGTAAGAGCAACCAGTGCTCTTAACTGCTAAACTGCTAATTTTAATGAAGTCCAAATTGTCTTTTTTTCCTTTTGTCACTTGTACGCTTAGCATCACACTTTACAAAGGCTGCCACCTCCATTGATACAGACTTCCCCACTGCCCTCTAAGGTCCTCTAGGCCTTGGGTCCATTCTGATTTAATTTTTGCACATGGCATAAAGGTCTGACTTCCTTGCTTTTTCTGTGCACAGCTAATGTCTCTGTATGAGAATACTTTAAACCTTGCAGCCCCACTTCTGGGATTCATCTTAAAGATATACTGAAAAAGATTGGGAAGAACTGTTTGTAATAGTCAAAGGATGAGAACAACCAAGTGTCCATGAGAGAGGATCCATTGCAGATACTAGTATATTCATGTGATGAGGATTCAGAGCCAAGGGAGTGAGGGCTCACTGTGCTGTGTCATTGAGTAAGACAGTAAGGCAGCATGAGGAGTGAGCTGTGGATATCTGAAATGGAGAGATAAGAAATACATATTTAATTACATTTTTGAAGGTGAACGAATTTGAGGAAATAGGTGTTTAACCTGTTTTAAACATTACACAAATCTATGTATGAAAACACACATTACCCCATTGATATATACAGCATTTAGTTTTTACATACCACTTAAAAAATAAGAATAAAGCCAGGTATGGTGGCACCCTCTTGTAATCCTAGCACTTGGAAAGTGCTCCCTTCCTAAGAAGGGAGGACTGTGAATTCAAAGCAGTCTGGGCTGCATAGCAAGTTCCATATTAACCTTGACTCCATGGTGACCCTGTCTAAATAAGTAAATAAATATTGGAATGGAAGGGTAAGCCAAGCATAGTAGTACACACCCATGTACTTAGCACCTAGAGGAAGCACTGAGGCAGGAGGATCTCCGTGAGTTTGAGGCCAGCCTGGTACATAGCAAGACTCTGTCTCCCAGAAAAAAGACCAACAATATAACTCAATGATACAGGATTTGCCTAGAGTGTACAAGGCCCTGTATTCTGTCCCCAGCACATACCCACACTCCAAGAAACAGTAGAGGGGAGCAAGGCAAGAGGTCAGGCTTTACAGGTTTGCTTTTGAAAACTCATAAATGTATTACATAATTACAAAAGGGTTAATTACAGTAAAGTAAATAAAGTAACCCTTTTTTGTAAAAATTAATTGGAGGCTGGAGAGATGACTCAGTGGTTAAGAGAACTTATTGCCCTTGCAGAGGACCCAGGGTGCGCATGTGCACACACATTCAAATAATAACAATTAAAAATAAATCCTTTAAAAAAATTTTAATGTATCAGGGCTAGAGAGATGGCTCAGCAGTTAAGAGCACTGGCTGCTTCTGCAGAGGAACTGGGTTCAATTCTCAGCACCCACATGGCTAACTGTCCATAACACATGGTGGCTAACAACTGTCCATAACTCCAGTTCCAGGAGATCCAATGCCTTCTTCTGACCTCCACAGACACTGCACAACATGGGTACACTCACATACATGGAGGCAAGACACTCATATACATAAAATAAAAATAAATAACAAAACCACACAAATTAGTTGAACAAGTGTATCCAATTGATAACACACTCAGGGAGGAGCCCCTTTAGGTAACAAGGTCCTGGGAAAGGCTTTGCTCATCATCTCCCGTCACAATGATGCTTAACAAGCCACCCCATAATCCACCGGTCTTTCTCAGCAGCCACCTTGCTGTGTGTCCTCCCCCAGGGGTGCTGAGGTCTGCCACTCCTGGTGTACATGCCCACTTCCGTAGGCTTCAAGCCAAACAGCCTCCCTTACCTGTAGATGGGGCTGAGTTTTGGAAAGAAGACATGACTTTCCTAAAGGTGGAATGAGGGGACCAAGAGTAAAAGACTATTAAATGACCTAATACCCAGAGTCAGAGCTGGAGCCCGGCTCCACACCCTAAACCATACTGCCATCAAGGGTCCTTCAGCCCTCCCACACAGGAGGGAAGTTGGAAGCAGCTCACATTCTGATAGGATGGAGAGCTGGCCTCACACTTCTGTGCTGCTGAGCTGGAGCTGAGGTGCCACCTAAGCCAGCAGGAGGGTGTGCATGATGACAGCGCCTGGCGGTCTGTGGGTGCAGGGAAGGGTGACAACCAAAACAAATTGGCTGTGGCTGATGGATGGATCCCTGTTCCAGCTGTGCGACTGGTGGATCTTGAAATTATGTCTTAGGTTTTTAGTGGGGTTTCCTGCTAAGGAAATTTGTTTGAAACTAATCGAGTGTTTTTTGTTTGTTTGTTGTTTTTTGTTTTTTTGCTCCAGATGTGCAGTCAGACATGCCTGTAATCACATCAGCGAGGTAAGTGCCACCCCCCTTTAGCTTTGACTCAGCTGTGGCTGAGTCAGATCTGGTTTTAGCTAGTGCAGTGGGATGTAGCTAATATCAGCCTCTCCCCCTTTTCTTTTTCTGGTGTTGGATAAATCCTTGGAAACTAAGTCTGTAGATCAAATCACATTTGAAATGTGTTGAGTTTTGTTCAGGTCATACTAAAATGATGCTTTGCCTATTGAATTCCTCCCAGAACATGAACAACTGTTGTGTTATGAAGTCCTGAGATGCCAGGACTCAGGTTCCATGTTGGCCTCCTACCCTGTGTGGGCAGACAGCCTTGTCCTCCTTGCTCTACACTGTAGGGTCAGAGAAGCTTCACAGAGGTCCCTGCCGTCCCTCCTAGGAATTCTGGGAACATTTCCCTCTGATTCCACAGACACCTGCACACTGCCTAGCTAATTCCAGCGCATCAACAGTCCTGCCCACACATCACCTCTCCTCTGCTGCCCTGGCTGTTGGACCTCTGGTCTGTGCTCTGTGTCATCTCTGACATGCTTGGGTTCAGATATCAGTTCCAGGAGGACAGGGACCAGGCCTTGCACCTTTCTGCAGCCCCACACTTGATAAGACTTCCATCCAAAGCCAAGCATGGTTGATTCATGCCTGTAATCTTAGCACTGAGGCAGGAGGATTCCTGGGAGTTCCAGGTCAGCTGAGCCCCTGTTTCAGAACAACAACAACAAAACAAGCCAGGCGTGGTGATGCATGTCTTTAATCCCAGCACTCAGGAGGCAGAAGCAGGCAAATCACTGAGATGGAGGCCAACCTGGTCTACATAGTAAATTCCAGGCCGGTCTGTCATTCCCAACCTCATTGTCTGCTACAACTCAGATCACAGCTCCTTTAGACAGCCTTGTGACACCAGTCCATAGTGGTCTAACACATAATGGCAGAACCCAACAGCCCAGTGCCCTGCTGGCTAGCAAAGTAGCAAGGAGCCATGGTCCCAGACTAGGATAGGAGTGGGATTCTGGTCTTGGGAAGAACTTGCTCAGGACCTGGCAGAGCCCCTGTCCCAGGAAGACTGCAGTGTAGTCAGATCACAGCAGCCAAGCCTAGGATTCAGAAACCAAACAGAGGCTGGTGAGGACCCAGTCAGGCTTGCTATGTAGATGACATGAGGTCAAGCCATTCTGCAGATGGGAGGTTCAGGTGAGGAGAGTCCCACCTCCCTGAAGAATGTCCTTTATAAGCACTGAAGTGTCTACAGCATGACGTTCAGGAATAGTTCCTCATCTTTACATTTTCTTTAACTGCTAGACCAAACTCAGTAACTTGAAACAAATGAAACAGATCCTCAGTTCTGGAAGCAGAAGTCTAAAATGCAGATGCTGGCAGGGCACCTCCCTCTGAAGGACTGGGGACAACCCTTTCCTACCCACCTCAGCTTCTGGAGGTCCCTGCCCCCAGCTGCTCACAGCATTCTCCCATGTGTATGTCTGTCCACGTTTCCTCCTTCTGTTAAGGGCACTAGTCAGGATGACCTCATCTTAAATAGAAAATCATATGGATGAAATAGCTTTCCCATGACTCAGTGGGCTCAGCTCCAGAGCGAGAGGAATGGACACATGGGGAACAATAGAGCAGCTGTTTGTACTAGCGCTACTGAGTACATGTGCGAGGTTCTATGCACATGACAGATTTCTATGTTGTCTCCCCTCATCTCACCCCAAGACAACCCTGGATCCTTCTGGAATCATATTGACATGGGAGATGAAGCTCCTCACTCGAGGTCAGTGCTGGCCCTGGGGCATTGCAGTGATGAATGGACTTGGTAGGTCCAATGGAGAAGAGTCTAGGTAGGCAGGAGAGGCATATTGGGGAACCCTGAGGGGTGCAGTATTCTCACAGCCTTAAGGGTTTGCTTGCCCCAGGCCCTCAACTGTGCCCCTTCCTCTGCCCCTCCCTCTTCACTCCCTGCCTCCTACTCTCCTCTTTTCCTCACCACTTCTCCAGCTGTTTGGGACTTGACTTTTTGAGGAAGTGCTGAACAGCATTTGTGACCCTCATTCCACACATCTGGTCATTTGCCTCCCAGACCTTTTGAAATTTGTCCACACGATCCTATAGCCACTCGTGTTGGAGCTTTGACTTCTCTGAGATAGGACAGGGAAGTGCAGAGGCCGGGGCAGGTGGCAAAAGAGCAGAGAGGCAGAGGTGCCAAGCAGCTTAGGTCAGAATCACTCAAGAGTCAGACCTGACCTGCCTTCATCCCTGGGCCACATAATGAGAACCTGTCACATTAAAATGGCATGTGGGCCAGCAAGATGGCTCAGTGGGTAAAGGAGCTTGCTACCAAGCCCAGTACCCTGGAACCCACAGTGGGAGGAGAGAACCAACTCCTAAAGTGGTCCTCTAGCCTCTGCATGCACACCATGCCACAAGTGCACCTACACTCACACACGTGGTATCCATGCACATGCATACACAAATACAATAATAAATAGAAATAAAAATGTTAAGATAGATAAATGAGTAGAATGGCTCATGTGATTGTTAATGCAGTGTATGCAGAGTCTGATTGTTTTGATTTTACACTACCCCTAAAGCCCTCATGTATGTGACACAGAGCAAGTGTGGTTTATTGAGCACATCTGTGCTGCACACTTCACACATCTTACCTCAGCTCTTCCTTGCTGCAACTGGGTAAGGCCCTGTGTTCAATACTCAGGACCACAGTGAATGAACAACAAATCAAAGATTCAGTTCCCAACATACAGGAATGCATTTCGTCTGCACATAGGAAAACCAGTGTGGGCAGCTGGAAAGGTTCTAGTGAGCCACAGCTAAGCAGCCACCAACCTTTCTGGGTACAACAAAAGCCAGTTTGCCTATTGTGTTGTGTGAGCTGTGGCATTTTGTGCACCGTGACATAGTCAGACATCAGAGCACATAGGTCAGATGAAGTGAGGAATGAAATCATGCCATATCCTCTCAGGCATGGGCAGAGGCAGTGCACTTGGCCCTCTGCTGGTCTTGGGTTTTCAATGCCCAGTGGTTCTTGAGAACCTGTCACATTAAAATGGCATGTGGGCCAGCAAGATGGCTCAGTGGGTAAAAGAGCTTGCTACCAAGCCCAGTACCCTGGAACCCACAATGGTCTTTACACACCAACCTATGGTCTTTTGTAACTTGGCAAGAGCTCAGTTGTCTTCAACTATTAAAATTGTAATGTTTTAATATACTGTGAAAATTATTAGAAAAATGGCCATTTGTTTTAGAACACTTGGTACATAAGGTACATCATTTTCTCCCATATCCAGTGAAGATATTCTTGGGTACTGTGAAAAATATTGGTTGAAATTCTCTCTACTTCCCAGTACTAAACAGAAGGTGTTTAGATCATGAATGGAGTATCTCTCAGAAGCTATATGAAAACCCAAACTGGAAATATAGAATAGATCAATAAAAGGTGGCCATTTTCTCACATTTGCCTGTATCTCTTGGTTTTAAATTACATAAATTTCAGGGATGGAAGGTCTTCTCAGTGGTTAAGACCACTGGCTGCTCTTGCAGAGGACCTGGGTTCAGTTCTCAGCACCCACATAGGGGCTAACAACCATCTGCAACTCCAGTTCTAGAGGATCCAACATCCTCTTCTGGCCTCCATGGGCATTGCACACAGGGTGCACTTACATACATGCAGGCAAAACACTCATTAAGTAAAAATAGGTAAAACATTTTAATTTCTACTTTGTTAAATGGGATCAATTCTTTTCGAACTAAGCAATAATAATAGGAAAAATAATGTGTGCTTGTTGTAGAACAGAATTACAGGGGAAAATGTGAAGAGGAAAAGCTGTACCTATAACCCAGCTTCCAAGAAAACTGTAGACATTTGGCAGACCACTTGTAGGCATTTTGGATGCTTTGTGGTCATCTTGAGGTTGAAATTCAAGTGTGTTACTGACAGTGTTTCCATTGGCAGGTATCAGCGCCATGTGGAATGGGTCTCGGATCTCATGCAGAGACAGGGGCAGGATGAAAGTTCAGTGCGCAAGATCCTTAAGGAGTACACAGAACCCCTGGAGCATCCTTGCAGAAAAGGGAGGGTTGAGGTACCACAGCATGACTCGCTTACCTCTGAGGCAGATTCCTCCTTGGAAGGTACTGTGGGAATGGAGGAACTTCCTATGGCCAATGGAAGCTCTGGACAGTCAGGTGACCAGCAGGAGGGGCCTGGACATGATATACTCACTGCAGCCAGCCTTGATGGACACATGGTAGAGAACACCAAGGCTCTGACCCAGGTGCCCTGTCGTAGACAGGAATTCCCCATCCTTGACAGCAGCCATCCAGCATATCTCACTACAGGAGAGAGAGGGACTGGCCATGAGTACGTACTGGTAGAGGAAGAGCTGTGTGATGTCCGGGAGAAGGAAGAGACCTCAGATGAGGAGGTGCGTAGATTGAAGTACATGGTCCCCCCCATCGGGATTTCACTCTTCACAGTTTTCGCTACTCACAACCAAGTACAGTCTAAAAATACTGCTGTGAGAGAGACATCTCCTGAACACCATTTTTACTGCAGTGTGTTGTTCAAACAGCTCTACTTTGTTTTTGGTCACTGTTGGTAGTCTCTTACTAATATAAATTCTATCATAGGCATATGTGAGAAAGCAGAACATGTGCACAGGTCAGAACTACCCACGGTGTCCGGCTTCCCCAGGACCCTTGGAGTGTGTCTCCTGGAGATAAGGGAGACTACCATCAGTCACTTCTCCAAAGCCATCTGACACTGGCCCATAGGGGTGTTGGCCCACCCACACATCCTTCCTTTGCAGCTGGTCACAGGCCCATTGTCAACACCGGGCGTATGGCGCGTGTCGCTTGACCCCCGGCGTGGTGTGTGCGGGCACCCTGGGGTCTCCGCCACACCTGTCTAATCCCGGCGTGAGTCTGGCTGCAGGCAATGTGGGGAGCGCGCCTGGGCTCCCGGGCGCACTCACTCTGGATGTGGCCCAGGGTCAGGTGTGCGTGCACTCTCCCGCCGTG